TTTGGAGCCTTATATGTGCTGTTTAGTACCTTCAAAACAAAGGCCTCGTGAGTTTAGTGAATCAGCCACTACAGAATCTACAGCATAAAGGCCAGGTCTATGTTCTCCTAAGGGTTATCTACAGGCTAAAATATATAAACTAACTGATCAGCAATATTGTAAATAAATATAGTGTATAACTGTGAATGATGCTGACCAGTTTGCATTCTTCCTGCTCTGGGATGATCTCAGGCATTGGCAGATGTTGAGGTTCGGTTTCTGTGAGACAGAAGTCCTGGGACTTTGTGGCTTCAAGTTGGTCCATGAGAATATCAATATCGGAGCAAGACAAACAAAAATTAGGAAAAATTTCTTCTTCTTTTTTCGGTTTATATGTATCCAACTTGAAACACCCTTCAAGTACAGAAACTTTTTTGTTTACTTGATTAACCCTAACCCTGACAATCAAAAAGCATCACCAAAGGATATTTTCCTTTTGAAGATCAAAGGAAATTTTACCCATGATGATAAAAATCTATTGAATAAAGTACCTCCATGAATGGTGCACCAACACAATAGATGGCGGTAATGCGCTTTGATGTAGATTTCCACCTGCCAATAAACTGAACAAAGAAGAAAGAAGGTTTTGAGGTGTGTGGTAAGATGGAATTAACATATACACAGTATATGTACTATACTAAGTACTCTCGAAATGTAAAAAATTATATGAAACATTTGTTCCACTATATGAAGATGGATCCAAACATCCTATTACATGACAAACAGGTTTTGGTTTCAGTATACCAGACAGAGATCAGATCATTTGTCAGTTTACACGGTGGAGATGGTAGCAATTGCAACATTATTACAGTCAGTTGAAGAGTTATAAATGAGTTATCAGTTATCAGGAAATGTGTTTGGTGTACAGATTTGTGCTCACCATTAATAATCAGTGATTACATTATTTTCATCTAACAGTAGGCAAGCGTTAGTTAATGAGATAGCCAGTCAGATTTACCTTTAGCCACAGCGTACCCTCAGGTTTTACTTGTTACGATGTGATCCTAAGGTACACAACTGAAGATATGTCCCTAACATCCGCTGCTTGTCGCAAACATCTTCTAACATCAAATGCTGGTTGGCATCTTAATTTGTGTGGTAGACCTTCAAATATTCAAGGGATATTCTCCATCTTGTCCTATCTTCTAAAATGACAGATTTGTTTTATCATTGATCAGTTTTGTTCAATGGATTAAACAACACTGATGGTTTTAATCCATCGGCTCAATTTTAACATTGTGAAATCTGATCTTTTGTTGGCTCCAACCTTAATTATGACATAGTATATTGTGACATCTATGCTGCCTTCCCCTCGCTGTTGGAAATGTTGGATTTAGTCTCACAATGCATCATCTCAGTCCCTGCATTAATCTGATTAACATAATCTGATTATTTTGTGAGCATGTAAACAAAGTCATTAGTTTAGTATTCTGTAGTCTTAATAAATCTGAAGCTGCAAACCGGACATGAATTTTGTTTTCTGCTGATTTAGAGCATGCGTCGGATCAAGGTCCTCCCATTAACGCCTCAGTGGCTTATTAGGCATTTTTTTCTTTGAAAGTCACTCAACTATGGATAATTGTTTTTCTTATGACTGATTTTCCAATTCATCTTCCTACGTGCTTTGTTAAGCTTCACTAATGCAGGTCACCTTTATAGTTTCAGAAAAAAAGCTGCAACCAGCATCACCACAAGTTAAACAAACAGCCC